AAAGACAGCCTTCACCTCAAATACTGAAATACTTGTTTCACAGCATAGCATTTTTTCCTTTGATATTAGCCTTCTAAATGAAATACAAAGTCAAAATTCATGAGAAAAATAATTTTTTWAAAAAGTTATTCTTTTCCAGGAAGATGAAAAATAGTTTCCATAGCACTTACTCCTGTCAGGCAGGAGGCACACATGATCTCATTACTCGACTTGTTCTCGTTAGCCGACTTTGTTCCATTTATTATTGACTTGTGGGAAGGTAAACAATAGAAGTGTATTGACTCACTGCTCCAGGATTTTTCAGCTTATCGCAGACAGGATTTTTCTTGCATGTATTGTAATAACAACCCACTTACTTGCAGTGTGCAGGTTCATGTAGCTTTGAAAGGCAGGAGAGTTCAGAGAGCTRGTTTTCAATGTCTGCAGCTTTCAGGGCATTACTAAAGGTCTTTAAATTCACAGAGCTATTCATACTTACAACAGAAGTGAAAAGTGCATTCATGAAGGGAATGATGATAATTTATTTGTGTGTATCTTTGAACACTTGAAAAAATTAATTCACATGAAAGAAATCTTTCCCAGGACATGTTTTTAAAAGTTGGCTCTTYGCTCTGTGTCTCACTGGAAGATACATGAGAATCATTATTTGATTTCTGGACTTCAGAAATCATGCCATCTTTAGTCAAGTCAGCGTGTCAGTAAAGATTCCTGCTCCCTGTTCTCCAGGCTTCACAAATAGTGCATATTGAACACATGCTGGAAGACTGGATTACTGTTCCTCTCACGTGGTTTCCTTGCTGCAGCTGTACCTGAAGGAACAAACCAGTCTTGGTCTGTATGGAAGAGCCCACCCAAACTCATAKGCTGGGAAAACAGATTTGCTCAGTGTCCTTGGCATATCTCTTGTCGAGGTCTCAGTCACTCAGTGTCACCAAAAGCTGAGCAGTTTCACTGATCTCCTGCCCGTCAAGTCACTGCTGGGTTTTATGGTGAAGCCGGGTGGGTTCTAGCCATCTCAGTGAGCTCTCCCAAGGTGCGCTACATGCAGCCAGCTCTACACTTAGGATGATGGTGACAATATTAAAAACATACCAACCTGTTGTTTTCGTTACATGTATTTTTTTAATCTTCTAGTCATCTGCTCAACGATAAGTACTTAGCCAGCTGTAGTTAAACAGGACCTTGTCTTGGATACCCTGTGGTGAAACCTTCTTCCCCCCGTTTATTTCTCTGCTCCTCTGTCTCCTCACTTCACCAGCAATCTGCTTCAACAGGCTGCGTTCTCGTAGTGGTAGCAAAACCATCAGTTCCCAAACGAACATAACACAAAATAGTGTCTGTGCTTCCTGAGCTAGACAGCGAGCTGATTAAAGGACTATTACAGGACCAAAATAACCAGCGCAGCAACTCCCATTTACATCTCTTTGACTCCCTGAATCYGAGAAGGAAGTGGCCAAAATAACAGAATGCTGGTGACAGAATGTCAAGATCCACCAGTGTCCTTCCTTCTCAAGTTAACTAATCAATACAAGATCTTACCCTATCACTATTAATATCAGACAAATCCTTCAGTCATGTCTGGATCCGCATTCACCTTCTTCCCTTCAAGTCATTTGTGATAAGGAAATGTAGACTAGTTTAAATTTTTATTAGATGGATGTATAACTAGCTGGAAAGCTCTTTTCAAGACATTTAATTATGCTTCGCTCTCAGACTGGAGGGATCCATTAAAGGATATTCTTCAGGGACTACGTARTATTTCATTCATGATTTAAAAGATGGAAATAGCACTTAATGCTAATGTTACCACGTGGAACAATGCTACAAGGTAGGATTATGGTTTTAAGATTTATTTTAAGAATTTGGCTCAAAGCACCTAATACTTTGAACTAATTTGGCATGTAATGACAATAAAGATGAATACAAACTCCTGTGTTTATATAGAAGTAATCTTTTGCATAAACACAAAGTGAGGAAGGACTGACTAAGCAGTGGTTCTGGACTGGGAATGATAGGTGGATCACAAGTTCAACATGAGTCAACAGCGTTCCTTTGTAAAATAGGGAGGCATCACATTGGAATACATAAAGAGGAGCATTGTTTGCAAGGCATACAGATTTTTCTGTTCTTCTCAGCATTTGAAAATACCTCTCAGAAGGTTTCTGACCAGTTGGACAGATTCCAGAGAAGAAAAAGAAGGAATCAGAAATGTAGAAATATAGTTTGTGGAGAATTATCGAATGAATAGGGGTTGTTTAATCTGAAAATGAGAAAGCTGAGGAAATATATCTAATTTCAAATACTGAAGAAGCTAAAAAGAAGAAAATAAGTTTTTTTTTTTTTTTTTTTTTTTTCTATATTCTCTGCCAAATAGGCTTGGGTCAATCATCAACAGAAACTTTCTAACCATCTTTTTGCCCTTAGATAATGAGGCACTGAAACGTATTGCCTGAGGAAGTTTTGACATCCTCATCAGGTTCAAGAACAGGTAAATCAGATAGCAGCCAGCGACAGCTAAAGTTAATTCTTTTGGGCCAGGAGAATAGTCTTCATGACCATTCAAGTTTTCTCTTCAGCCTCATTTTTTATTAATGTCTACACTTTTTTATAAATCCAATCTCTCTCAGGTGGTTGTAATCCTAATTCACAGTTTGTCTCAAGCTCAGGTCTCATCACTGAGACTGAAACTATAGTTGCTGGATAGGTCTTTTCAGTAGAAGACATCSTTTGTGAGGAAAGTTCTTGTTAACAGTGTGGAGAGCAGCAAGAGTGGCATTAARCTGACAGAATGGGTAAGGACGTCACGTTCATGCTGTCGGGCTGTCCTACCCAGCCCCTGTCATGCTGGATTATTTGCTAGAACTTAAAAGTATTCATCTTCTTCCTTAGTTCTGGTGAGCTTTTTTCCGCTGCTCCCTGTAGCTCTCTGCACATCTGTAGATTGCTCTGTATGTTTTTATATACATATGCACACACTCACATATATAACATTTTGAATATACGTATGAAATGTGTGTGTATACATATTCATACACCCATATAAATATCTACCTAAACACACATACACAGTCAGGGGTGTGTGTGTGTGTGTGTATATATATATGTGTGTATATATAAATATATATGCTGGACAAGTTCCTCAGGAGGATTGTTGAACCATTACTCCTGCACATAACCTTCAGGTGTCCACTGCTTGCACCTGGTGATCCACTGAGACCGGGTGGCCTGGCCTCGTCTTAGAAAGTGTTTTTCCCAGTTATGATCCATCCAGGAAGTGAGATGAGATCCCGGCCCTTTTGGCTGACTCCTCTGCCTGGCTTCTTTTAAGATAGCGTGTCCCTGTAAACATGTTGTAGGCTTCTCCTGAACACAGTTTGGGTCTTTCATCTTAACTGCAGAATTAACATATTTCCACTCTTTTTTGAAGGAGGACRTTTCTAGATGCAGAACCTCTTCAGACTTTGGTTGCTCAGAGGGCTTTGACTCTTGGCCTCCGCAGGATGAGGTCTCTCAGATCCCAAAGCTGTTTGTGTCAGCAGCCGAGCAGTTGAAAGTCAGGCATGCCAAGCTGGAAAACCACTCGTGAAACCTGTTATGAGAGTAGCAAAAAGCAGCCACCCTCAAAGAGGAACCCACATCCCATCAGGGCTCAGTCTCACTTAGTGGCTTTCTTGAGGGCTTTCTTGATGTCTCCATTGCTGACATCTGTGGAATGACTGYTGGGAGTTCCCTCCACACCTTTGCCAAGTGTTTTGCCATTTCAGAGCTTTGAGGAATAATACAGTGCATGGTAGCCTGTTGTGTGCATAAAGCTTGCCACGTCTCCTCACCAAGCACTGGGGTTGGTAGGAGCAACTTCAGCATAAATATACATATAGATAATGCATATCAGCTATTTCTGTTTTGAAGATCTAAAAAGATGCGTAGCGTTCTCGAAGGTGTGTTGTTCGTGTTGTTCACCCTCCTTCTCTGGGCTGTTTTGAGTCTTGCCCAGATCTCAGCCCTGGGATTCTGTGACTGAAAAGAAGGTTAGACAAGCTCCACATGAGGTGTGCAGCAAAGCCAGCAGGCTTGATAGAAAGGAAGTGGAGTGTAAGCTAGTCCTGTGGAAGTGAAACTAGTTGCAAAATTTTCAGGACCCACTTAAAATGTGAACATGCATGTAAAATATATATTTTTATGTATATATAGAAAGGGATATACATGTGAGAAAACTTTCTTTTTGCTGTTGTAGGTTTCATCTCAGAAAGTAGGTCTTCATGCATGAGCATGATGTGGAGCACTATCCTTTTGCATGTGCTTATGATAATGCCCACTAAWAAGTAGATTCTTATTGCTTCTGATAAGGGCAGAACTTATTATTGTTTTTAATGGAAGAGTAGATGTCATTTGAGATATGAGGCTGCCTGGGATGGTGATGAATCATTTCAGCAAAAACATCAATCRTGAGGCTTCGTGTCACTGCTCTTACCTTGGCCACTGCCTTTATTTTCAGGAACACTACTGGTTCAAGCAGTATTATTTGAAGGGAACAGGGTGCTTTACACAGTCTGAGGATCAGTTGTACAAGTGGTACAAGTGGCCCATAATCCTTATTTAGGGAAAAAGATGGATCATATTACAGAGTAAAAATATTATTGCTGAATTCTCATGTTAGCATGGGGAATAGTATGTGAATAAACCACTGAGACACTTCTGGTCACACTGCGGTAAAGTGCAGTTCATCCCATTTGGATTTCTTCCATGTGATTGGATCATCTGTGGCAATATCCATTCCTGCCCAACAGGGATGGTCTAGAGAGAGAGACATGAACAGCGGGAGTTACATTTCTGCTTGGCTCTTTTTCAGGGCACATTGATCAAACAAAAGTTCCTGGTATATTAGCCCATTGTACATATGAACAATGTACATATTTATCTTCATTTTCCTTTTTAAAATGTTTTTTCTTTTAGTTTGTGAGTATCATATAACCGCATTTCTATTTGTTTTCTTGTTTCAGAATGTTCTAATTGTGGAGGTAAGTAGGCCACTTCCCTTATACTGTACTTGGATAGTAAAGCCACACAGCAAAGTCATGCTTGTGTATTCAGTTTCTAAAACAGGCTGGGTTGCAATTGAGTTTGGACTTCTCAAATTGGAAAGCAGTGAAATGGGTAAAGAGTTAATTGACTTAATGACCTTCCAGTCTTTCTGAAATTGCACAATGAATCAAACCTCACTGGTGTGGCTCTAATTTGTGCTGCTACCCTCATTACGGCATCACCTGATTTGCTTTTTTTATGGCTTCATGAACTGCTCTTCTGCAAGTTGTTCTGTTCCTTGGAGGACAATGAATCACCTGTGATTCCCTAAGGGGATCCTAGATCCTAAGGGATCAAGTGATACCCTAAACTTCCTAGTTGCAAGACTCTAAAGTAGCAGCTCAGCCCTTTACAGCTTCAGTGCTGTTTACATGCAGGACAAGAACGTCAGTCTTTCAAGTCTCCTGACTGCTGCCCCTCAGCTCTGCATCCCTCCRCATCCCTCGTGCAGCAACACCATGGAATTTGTCTGCAGCAAAATTTTTTAAAGCTRTTTGATAGTTGAGGCATAGAGGTAGCTTTGCTAATGGAAAATACACATCTATAAAGTTCATGAGCAGTAGCTGCTTTTTGTGTGATACTCATTTAGGTAGGCATATATTTATTTATCTCATTTAGATCAGGTTGAATGCAGCAGATCTAGAGAATACTMTTTTTCTTTTTACTGGGCTAATAAAGTAACAAATAGAGCAGATTTGACTTGAGATGCCAAGTGTTGGCATATTGTAATCTTGATACCTGCATACTTGCATACTAGAAACATAACTCTTTATAAGAGGAAATGGACAGGGCTTTAGCTGTTTATTTTCTGAGTAGAAAGTGCTTGCTTCAAAGAATGCAAGCTCAGTCCTAACCTTTCTTGGATGTGGCTCAAAATACCCTGGGAGAAGCAATATCATTTCCACAAAATAAGAATATGGAAGTGCTCAGTTGTCATCAAGATTTCCTCCTTTTGGCTTTGCTTTGTGCTTTGCTCAGTGTTTTTTTTTTTTCCTTATTTTTTAAGGATATTGTTGGAACTGGAAGAACTATGAAGGTTCTGCTTAATAACATTGAAAAATACAAGCCCAAAATGATTAAAGTAGCCAGGTGAGTAAAACAGCCACAAAACTTAGTAATGAACTAGCTGACTGGACCAAATGGCTCAGCAGAGAAAGCTGCCCTGTCTCTGCAGGCAGAGAGAGGAGAGGAGCAGAAATGTCCTCGCGTTGTCCTGCGGTGGCAGTGACCCTCCTGCCATGCCACGACTGGCACCGGTGGCATCTGAAGGGGAGCAAACTTCCCTGCCATCAACACATTGCAGCAAGGAAAAGCAGAAAGAAATGTGACCCGAGGTGGTTTTTTTTTTTTTTGACAAAGGCAATAGGGGTTTTTTGTTTGTTTGTTTTTGGTTTTTTTTGTGCATATTATTCAGATAAATATCTGGATTTAGCTATTTCGTTGGTTTTAATTGCAGTTTGCTGGTGAAAAGAACATCTCGGCCTGATGGGTACAGACCAGATTGTAAGTAGTATTGTGAAAAATCTTCTTGATATCAGTTTCCACTCTCTACCACTTGTCTTGCTAGTAACTTTAGTAACTACTAGAAATGTAAAATTTCGGGAGCCAGTGAGCTTAAAGGATGCAATGGGATGATCTGTGTAATGGTGGTTTGGTAATCCTGGCCTCATTATAACCTGATGTTTTTTGCAAACACCAAATGTGTATGAAAGTTAGGGCAAAGTTAGATTTTATCCACTACAGGTGAATGTGTTGTCAGCTGGGATGCGGGCCCGGAGCTCCAGCTGCCCGCTGGCCTGGGCCGGCTGCCTCGGAGGGCAAAGGAGCGGAGCCGGAGCTGCCCTGCTCCGAGAACCAGCACGGGAGCTGAAGGGCTGTGTGAGAGCCACCCATTTGGTACTGATGGTGTTTCTTGTTTGTCTCCATACAGACTATGGATTTGAAATTCCCAATTTATTTGTGGTAGGTTATGCCTTAGACTACAACGAGCACTTCAGAGATCTAAATGTAAGTGTTTCTACAAAATCATTGTAAAATGATTTTGTAGATCTTTTTTTTTTGTAAAACTTTTACTTTCCTGAGGAGTCTTAAGGAGCCTGTAGTTTCCCTCCCCACTGGAGTCATATATCATGGTTGTGATCCTTCTAATGAGCTCTTGCCTCCCTGGAAAGCCTCTCCCAACCCAAGGAGTCACTGGTCAGCATTGCAAAGGATTCCTCCCCACGGCCAACTCTGCCAAGAGCAGAAGTTGTCCCCTCTGTCACCCTTCCATGGTCCGTGAGGCCAGGTCTTCGCCATCCCACCATCCGGGGTGGCACTGCGGGCAGGAGAGCAGGGGAGCAGCAGTTCCTTAACAGAGGGAGCTGCATCTCCATGTGAGGAAGAGCTCCTTCACTGTGAGGGTGCCCGAGCCCTGGCACAGGCTGCCCAGGGAGGCTGTGGAGTCTCCTGCTCTGGAGATCTTCCAAACCCACCTGGATGCCGCCCTGTGCCCCGTGCTCTGGGTGTCCCTGCTGGAGCAGGGGGTTGGACTGGATGATCTCTAGAGSTCCCTTCCAACCTCAACCACTCTGTGATGCTGTGGGCAAGCGCAAGACAGTCACAGCTCACCCAGCCCTGGCCCTTCCCTGCTGCCATCTGCCTCTTCTTTCCTGAGGAGGAGGATGGAGAAAAGGGGCCAGCTTGCCAGCCTTGCCAGTGCTTCCTGTGATACTCCCAGGGGTGGAGTTCAAAGCTGCAAGTGGAAAAACTCTGTAGCTAGACAGTAAAATCAGAACTCAGTTCTCTGGAGAGAAAAGGGATAATTACAAGATCACAGGGTTGGTCAAACAGATGTATTTCTGCACAATTTATTACTAATTAATAATGCAATCAATGATGCTGTTACAATCAGTGCTGTATTTTTTTCAGCACATATGTGTTATCAATGAACATGGCAAAGCAAAATACAGAGTCTAACATCGTAACGTCCTCACCTGAAGATGTGTGAATTCGGTGAACAACAATTTTGGCTCCACTCCCTCGTGCATCTCTTAGAAGAAGAGCAGCTCAACTGAGCTGCGTTTCCTCCGGCGCCGTAAAGGAAGGGGAATAAGGACTCTAGCACACACGGTGTATATACAGAAGTGAATGTTCCCATCTAAAATGTGAAGCGGAGGGCTTTTAAAGGTATTACTTTTTTAAACTACAAAAATCACACTATAATATGCCTTGCAACTCATCATTTGTCTGTCTCGAGTCTCAGTGCAAATACATCTTTGCTTCGTTCAGTCCATCATTCTAACTCGGTCCCTGTTACAATTAATGCACTTTGCTGTGCTGCATTACACTGCTCAGAAGTGCCATTCAGTGTCTTAAGTTTGGCCTTATTTTACAGAATTTTGACTTCCTTGTCACTTTAGACGCAGTCAAATTTGCTGCTGCTAAACTGAAGACATTATTGTGATTTAATTGTTCAATTAGAGGGTTTCTGCTGAAGTGGCAGGTTGGACAGGAGAACCTTTCTGGCCGGCCGTTCCTGCCTGTCCCAAACAGCAGTTTTGACGCTCCGAGAGCACTGACGGAGACTGCGGWTGCGGAGGGAGCTTCACAGAAGGGAGCCCCTCGTGACGTGGCCCTCGGAGATGTGCTGCAGGCCCTGGGCTGCCCAGCTGGGCCTCACGTGCTGCATTTCAATCAGGAGGAACACAATAGCAGGCAGGCTCCTTCGCTTTCTAGAGCACACAAACAAGTCCAAAAATTAACATAATGTTCCCCTGTGCATATTTCCTTAATTAAACCAGCTAGGCACAAAAGCTTAATGATAGTCAGACAGTTATTCAATTATAATCTGATTTTCTTCAGACGTTGGAGATGAGATTTTTTGCAACCATTTTTCTCATTTAGGAGAACAGATCTATCAATGTTGGAGAAGACTGGTATAAAAAGAAGTTTAAATGTGCATAGCAAATGATAGAAAACTAGTTAACACACGAGTATTGTAGACTCTAGAGATTCCTTCCTTTCCGTATCCATTGTGTTTGAAGAACTTTGTTAATTTGCCAGCGATCTTAATTTTGAAAATTCCAGTTCTGTACTATATGCAAGTGATCACAACAACTTCCAGAGGGAAGCAAATGCTGAGTGAGAAGCAAAAAGTGAGTAGCTCTAACATCCATAGCTGTGTTCTGAACTAAGAGGCCTGTTGTTCTTTGGCTTCAGCTTTCTTTAAACTAATAAAGAAACAGTGAGAACACTTGCTGCATTGCACAGTTGTTTATAATTATTTTCCTGCTTCATCATATTTTGCACATCCTGTAAAAGCTCTTTAAAAATATGCATCCAACTGGTAGTCTAAACATACCTTATGTATGCATCCTGTGGCTCATAAGCTATTTTTATTTGGATAAATTCCATTACGTTAACGGCATGAAATAGAATTATCGTGATTCCTCTATTAATTTTTTTAGTCTTTCTTTATTCTTTTAGCCTATACTTCTAAAGATTCCTGCTGAAAATGCTTACTTTCTTAGAATATCCTTTTTTTCTCTTTTGGAGAAAAGGAAGTATAGCCATCCCGCTCCTGCAAGAAGCTGCTCAAAAGAGTTTGAGCTCATTTTCTTTTATAGGTGGCTTGAAGTTTTTCTTCAGGCTCCTGTTTTATGGGTTTATGGGTACAGGCACCACATGGATACGCTGCAAGTGAGGCTGAGGCTGRGAGATCCATGAGGCAACTTCCATTTATCTTTTTTTTCTTAAAAAGAGCCAGTCCCACTGGCCTTGCTGCTGTGAGCAGCCTTCAGCAATAAGTGAGAATGTAAAACATGGATTAGTGTGAAAATGCAAAGTTGTTCGGATGGACACAGCTCAAACGACTCCAAGTATTTGTACTGAAGTTGTTTCATTTGAAAATGCAAATTATTAAAATATGGGTACTTAACAGAAAAGAATCAACTTACAGAAAAGATAGATTGAATAAAACATGTGAAACACATTTGATTCCAGCATTCCAGTAAAATGGGAGTATTTCTTCAGCTGCATTTGCTTCTCTTCTACGACCATGTTTTTAGCATTGCAATAAAGCACTATAGAGAYTTTACTGGTGAATTTACATTCACAGTTACTCTGGATTAAAGGCGATTTTGGCTTCTGATGTCCCACTCGATTTTCAGACCTCAATGGAGCTGAGCATGTCCCGACATCTCACCTGACAGTCCATGTTACTCTTTGTGTGCCCAAATTACTTCTGTCTGAAAAATTATCTTTCAGTTGCTTTCCTTAATAATAGGCTTCCAAAATATCATCAAAATAACCAGACAGATAATTCTGCATATATTTCTTGGATTAGTATTGGTGTTAAGTTTCCGCAGTGTATTCAGCTAAATAAAAAATCATATTTTTCCATAGCTGGCTCCAGGTTTAATAACAACATTGATTCCGTTGGTCACAATGTACTTTAATTAAAAAGCCCAATAAACATTTTCTCGGTGTGGTTGCACCCTATGACTCATAACATCGTTGTACTTCTAAAAAATAACTTCAACAATATCTGTTATATAAGAAGAGAGGATGTTCTTTACAGTCCCTTATTTATCCGGTGTTTATGCACTTGGCAGCATCCCCTTTTATTTCCTTTTCTCTCCCTACCCCCAGCATCCTCYCTGTGCCCCTCGAGCACAACACAACCTGCCACGAATTCGGTTTTATGGCCACAGAAACGTTCATCAGTCACCAGCTTTCGGACGCCACTCGGTGCATTCTTCCTTACAGCAGGTCCCCGTGCAAAATGCCTCAAAGAGGTTTTCTGGAGCATAAGCAAAAGTGGGAAAAATACTCCCTGCAGCTTGGTTAACTGTAAATTATTTAGGATTTTGTGTCATAAGTTAGATATGTCCTTCCCCTTTAAAAAAACGAAGGAAAAAAAAGTAGGGAAAATAAAAGCTTTCTCCCTAATTTCATAAACCTTTCACAGGCATTAACTTAATGYATTAACTTAATGCTATAGCCTTTATTCTGGCAAGTGGGCCGTGTGCAGCCAGCTAACTCTGTGCCCTGAGTTCCCCTGTGCTCCTTCTCTTGGGGAATGACCATGTGTTTGCCACGGGATTCGGAGGAGCAAGGAATGCAGCAGTGCCACAAGGGCAGCTGCAAAAAAGCCTCTTCTCAAACCATGAAGTCTGATGGAGATTTATTTTGTGGTGTTAGAAAGACTTTTTTTTTTTTCATTAAGACAGAGCAATATTCTGCCATTATCATAATTTAAGAAAAGGAAAAATAATCTGTGCTCTGGCCCCCGTGCCCTGCCCCTCGGTATTGGCTGACACTGCCTTCCTCGCTGGGGACGAGACCGTGTCCAGWGTGTGCTGGGCTTCCTTGGATCTCCACATGAACACACGGGAACACTTGAACTTCTCCCTGTTAGGACTATCTCGGAACAGAAAGTGGGCTCCAAATCCAGAAGAGCTTCGGGTGAGTCAGGTCAACACCTCCTGTCACACGTCGTCCCTTCTGCTGCCACGCCGGGCCACGAACTGCTGACAACCTACTGCAGCTTGCAGGACAGCACTTTATTTGTAATACTATTAAGAGAGAAAAAGGGTTGGATCCCGTTCAAAGGCTGACCTTTAGTTTGCTTCAGCAGCAGCTTGAAAGATTCCCCGTTTGTTCGCAGAGCATGAAAGGGCAGAAGTGATTTGTGTGCCTGTGCTCCAGCCCACCCATGAGACCTGCTCAAATCGCTCATAATGGCCAGAGATGTGTCTCTAATCATGAGGCAAAATGTCATTAATTAAACCATTACTGTATGTTTTTCAAAATCCAATGGTTCTGATCTTTGAAAGCATTCTGCCTTTGTCAAGCCTAAGTCATAAGGCTATAAAAGGGAAAATTGTATTGCTGGATTGTGCATGTTATACCAGCATAACTATTGAAACTGCATAGGAAAACACTAGAATTTAGCTAATATGTTTAGAAAGCATTTCCAGAAGACATAGTTCTCTTGCAGTGTCTTTTCCCAGTTATTTGCAGTTTTCCCGAGATACCAGAAGTATTTCTCTCTTTCAAATGACTTTGTTCCGATTTGATCACTTGCACCCTATTTATATACCATGTTCTATCTTTCACTCTGTTGTCTTTTAACCAAATTTTGCCAACTTTCCTAGTTTTTATGGCCCTCACAAATGTTTGTTGTTCTCCRGGAAAGAGCAGCCCTTGTTCTGAAACATTCAGGGCCAAATTTCCAAAGGGAGTTGGGCATCCAAGAAGAACTTGGGGGTTTCTCCTGCTTGGGCAGGTGTCTAGCTGTATCTTTCAGTGATCATACACTTGTAAAAATATGTTTCTTGCCTAATCTAGACAGATTGGGAGAAATAAAATAATAGAACTTTGTATGGAAAAAAAAAAAAGAGGTACTGAAAACAAGAATAGAGGAGAAACAAGTACAATTGTGTCATTCTTTGATTTGGGCATGAATATGTCTTTGTCTTTCCAATGTATACAAGTGTTATTTAATTGATTTATTTGTTTGGGTTTTCATGAGAATTACTGTAGTGAGTGTTTCCTTAGGAAACCTGGAATAGGCTGAAAGTGCTCAAAATTTTAATTTTGGAAGCAATAGATCAGCTGCACAGAGAGACAAAAAGCAGAGAGCTTTCTTGACACAAAAGGCAGATAAGATATGCAGACACATTCAACAGCAACAGGAGCACCAGAAAATTCACAGATGGTAAAAAAAAAACCCAAAACATATCATTAAAAACTTTGACTGCAGAATATAGATCAGAATAAGTCTACTATTGTAGAGTGTGCAGGAAGGATATTAAAGTTGGATAAACAAGACCTGCTGAAGGAGCATGGAGATAGAAGGCTTTGTGCTGAGASAAAAATTGGGCCTGGGCCTGCTCTATATGTGAAGGAAAAACATAATAAGCTGAAATTGCTGCCTTCTTCCAAAAGGCACTGCAGATAATAACATGATGTTAYTAACTGTATTCAGGCTCTTACCTGTAAAACGGTAATTTAAGYTTCTAAATTCTCCTCTGCCTAAGCTGGGAAGCAATGCAGAGGCAGCTCTGAAAAGCCTATCTGAATCTCTGAACTGTCTTAAATGCAACCAACCAACTTTGACACCTATTTTAGCCCATTTGAAGAGATCCCAGTGCTGTTATTAATAATCTCTCATATTTTCTGATGCTTTTATGACTTCCCATCTCAGGCTTTACCTTATTCCTTAGGTCTTATTTACTTTTGTTTCTCCTGATAAGACCACCTGGGGCGGAAGCAAATCCCAGGTTCCGCAAGGGCTGGGCTCAAGGCAAAGGACACTCTGGTGAGTGGGAATGTGGAGCCATCAGAGCTGTGTGGGAGTTCKGAACCCTCAGAGAAGCCAACCCCCAAGAACAGCCAACGTGCTCATCCGGGTGACAGTTTCCGACCTCCCTTGTGACAGCTTTTAGGAAAAGAATACATAATTTAAGGCCAGAAAAAAAACCTCTAATTTGTGTCCCKAAGAATCACGGCGGAGAGGCTAAGGGGCTGGTGAAGCACACAGAGGGAACACTGTGTCCCCAGCAGCCCCGCCAAGTGTCCCGCTTGTTCCCAGCACCGGGACAAGAGCCCGGCTCTGAACTGAGCGCCGGAGCCGCACCAGGAATGCGCCTATTGACACGCAAATRAGCCCAGCAAACATCCCGCCCGGCCGCAGTATTTCCAGCCGCGCTATTGGGACAGGAATAGGAGGGGGTTTATCCAGGTCAGGGCTGACACGCATTTGGATGTGTCAGGGCTCCGCCGTATCTCGCAATGGCCCAGCCAAAATTCGCAACAAGACATTTCAATATTTTCCCAGCGCAGGTCACAAACTAAAGGCCAAAGCTCGTGAGTGTTTTCCTGATTATGTTCCATCTATTTATGGAAAAGGAGTCAAATATAAGAACACATTTCCTGTGCAAAAAAAGAAGGAAGTCAAGGTACGTCATGGCACTGCCTCAGGATGATTGGAATTCTTCAGCCAGGCACAGACTAACTGATGCTATTTTCCAGTCCTTAAGCTATTTACCCTGCTTTATCATTGGCAGTCTCTGAGACATTTAAATTATTTTGTGCATAAGGACAACAGTATTTTGTGATGTAAAAATAGATGTGGAAAATTATAGGTGAAGCTACTCAAGAACAATGTTCTGTCTCTTTGAACAGCAAAATAACTTCATACTGTCTCCATTCCAACCGAGAAAGATGCTCTAACTGAACAGAACCATGCAGATGCCCAAGTTAAGCTCATGCTAAGTCCTAGCATGATCAAAGCCATAGTTTTCAGTTTAGTATAAGTGGGTGGATGATAAGAACATTGTATTTCAGTGTGAATCATAGAATCGTCATAGAATCCTGAAGGGATTCTGAAGTTGGAAGGGACCTTTAGAGATCATCGAGTCCAACCACCCTGCACATGCAGGGTCACCTAGAGCCCATGGCACAGGGCTGCATCCAAGTGGGTTTTAA